CCACTTGAGGCCACCAAAGCCCATGCCCATCCCACCTGCCCCTCCAAGAAACAAATGGATTTGGTGGCCAATACATGCCTCAGAGAGAGAGAGAGGGGCCTGTCCTCTGTGTCCAGAATGGGCCGGGGGGGGGGGACCTTCAACAGCAGATCCATTTATGCCCCTTAACATGTCAGGAAGCTAATGTGACTCTGACCTGTCACGGATTCCTTAAGATGGTGACTCCAAACCAAAGCAAACAAATGCATCTCATCCCACGTCATGCGTGGGCTCCTACAGGGGCTGGCGGGGCCTACACTTGCATGGTCTGGGTTCCTGATCAGGGAGCTGCACAGACTGTCCCTCCTGAGTCTGTGGTCACCTGGGGGACTGCTCCAGGTCACTCTAAAACCACCAGGCATGCTCCAAGACGTGCCTTCCTGCCCTGCGCACAGTAGCTCACCCAGAATATTGGGTGATCGAGCTCAGGAGCACAGTAACTCCCTTCTGGGACCTGGGCCATCCAGGATGTCCAAGCAGCAGCTGTGTCTGCAGGCCAGTGGGACCCTCACCATGTTCCCTGGTGGAAGTTCAATGAAGGTAGAAGGGAACACAACTCCCCACCTGGGCATGGTGAGCAAACCCATCCCAGCCCTCTCAGTTCCAGGCCTGTGTGTTCAGCTGCCAGGCACAGCCCACACCCTTGCCACTGGCTCAGGAGCCTACGGGACAGAGCTGCTGTCCCGTAGGTGGTGCCAGAGCTGTCACTTCTACAGATGGCCCAGGTGATGAACACTGTGGCAGACCCTATGGACTGCATGGCCACACGCTTGCTTTGCAAAGTGGCCTGTGGTCCTGTGTGGTGTGGGTGGGGCCTGACAGGCAGGCCCCTCTGTGCACCTGTGTTTACAGTGTTCAGACTCTGCTCTCAATGTGTGTTAAGTCCAAGGAGGAGGAAGCCTTGCCCCTCCAGGGAAGGAGGGGTTTTACATGACCAATATGCAACCCGTGGCTGGTGGTCTCCAGGGAAAACACCTGCCAAAGGTGAGCACAGGCATCTGCTGCTGCAGGCTGGACACGCCCCTGTCCTGGTCAGGTCGGCCTCCCTGCCCCGTGGCTGCACCACTCCTGAACCAACTGCCCAGGCATCGGCAGCATTAACAGCCTCCCTTCACCCCACTGGGGCTGGAGGAGGACCACGCACACGGCCCCCTGCCCTGGACACAGGAGGAGGCTTTTGCTGTAGCTTCTTCCCATAGCAACCTGCGGCTCATACAGCGTCTCTTCTGAACAGGACCCTTTTGTGACTGGGTCTCAGTTCCATCTTCTGTAAACTAGGATGATGGCATTATTCACTTCGTGGCTGTTTTGGGAGAACAAATGAGCTAATTCATGCTGAGTGCTTTCAACAGTGAATTCCTGATACATAGCAGGTACTTAAAATCCTGCTTTGGCAAATCATTTAATCATGTGAAAATTGTTGCAATAAGACGTTGAATCTAAACCCATGATACCCACTTGTGAAAAATTCAGATGGACGAACAGCCATGCAGGCATGGCCAGGCCTCCTGGGCACCCATGCCACAGGGAAGCAGGTCATCCTGTCTAGTCACCAGGTGTCACTGAACTCTCAGTGCAGCAATACCAGGCAGTGGTCACTCAAGGACAGTGATCTCACCATGGCGAGGATGGAGCCAGCCAATGGGGCCAGTGTGTGTGAACCACAGCCTGTGCACCAGAAAAGAGGAGTTGCTGGAGGAGGGGCCATCACCTGCAATGCTGAGCCAGGAGCCCTCATCTATGACACTGAGGAGACAGGAACCTTCACCTGTGATGCTGAGTCAGGAGCCCTCACCTGTGACACTGAGGAGCCAGGAGCCCTCACCTGCGATGCTGAGTCAGGAGCCCCCACCTATGACACTGAGGAGACAGGAACCTTCACCTGCGATGCTGAGTCAGGAGCCCTCGCCCACATCACTGAGTGGTGCCTCTGGGCCCATCTGTGATTTGTAGTGTGGCTATTTAACTGTGAGTAGGTCAATCTGTGAAGCTTGAACATTTTCTTTCTCTTTTTAAAGAAAATAAGGTGAAAATATCTTTTAGGTTTTTAATTTGTATTCACCTTTTAGAAAAAATTAGTAGACTTTCATATAGTTTTTTAACTTACAGAAAAGCCATAAGAAAGGAAGCAGAAACTGATGTGTATTGCATATTTATATGTTGTTTGTGTGTGTGTGTTGGGTGGCTTGTGTGATCGCATTTACACAGTAGAAGACATGTAACTTTTAAACAGAATTGGATATTGGTCTCAATATTTTTGTGTAAATGGACATGTGAACTTGAAGAAGTGTATGGTTCATTCCTTATTACCTGTCAGCATGCCCTCCTGACATTAAGATCCTGGTGGTTGGGCTGGCCCCATGGCTCACTCGGGAGAGTGCAGTGCTTGATGGTACCAAGGCCACAGGTTTAGGTCCTGTATAGGGATGGCCGGTGCGCTCACTGGCTGAGCATGGTGCAGACGGTGCTGAGCCAAGGGTGGCAATCCCCTTACTGGTCAAAAAAAAAAAAAAAAAGATCCTGGTGCTTCAGGGGAACATACACAGCACTTTAAATGCTAAAGTGGTTTTTCAGATATTAAATAAATCACCCAGGTCACCAGTGGAAACAGTATCTGTAATCACCATCCACCATTTCCTAGGAACCACAGGTTTGTCTCAGCAGAGCTGTTCATGACACATGGAACGGGGGGACTGGCCGTGGACTTGTGAAGCGATTCCCTGAAGTTCTGTGACAGAACAGGGAAACTGGTCATCCCCTGCCCTGCAGCCTGCCGGGGACCAGGAAGGGAAGGCTCGTGGCAGGATCTCTAGTGTCACTGGCTTTAATCAAGCTTTTTGCTGTCATTGTGCACAGATAGGGAGACACATGTGAAGGGGAAAATTTCTCCCCAAAGACTGTTGTCCCAATTCCTGGCCTGCCCTTCATGTTCTCATCACTATGGGCGTCCCCTGGTGAGTCTCAAAGCCACTCCCCTTTGCTGGTCTGAAGGCCAATCCTAACCTACTTAAATATGTTCCAGAACTGAAAGAAAACAGTGGATATACGGGGTGAAAAAAATGAGGATCTTAGCAGAGAAATGAACAATTAAGGAAAGAAATAAAGAATCAAAGAGAAATTCTGGAATTTAAAAGTAAAATATTTGGATTAAACAATTCACTAGATGCTTTTAATAGCAGCTGGAGACAGCAGATAAGAGGCCAGGGAACTTGAAGCCAATCAGCAGAAATTGTCCAAACTGAGTAAAAAAGGAAAACACAGGTAAAAATAGAATGAACAGAGCCTGTCCAGCCAAAATAAGCCACGTTACATAACTGAAAACACAGGAGGAGAGAGGAGAGACAATGGGGCAGGAAAAAAACCCACAACAGGACCAAAATTTCCCTCAGTTGGTGAAAAACATCAAGCCACAGAAGCAAGAAGCTCGGAAAGCTGTAGGAAGACAATGAACAGGCACACGACAGACCCCGTGCGGAAAACCGAAGGTGAAAAAGTCCTCAAAGCAGCCAAGGAAAAGATGATTCCAAACCACGGCTTCAGCGGTGCTGCTGATGCGCAGGACACAAAGCGTCGAGTCCACAAAGCAGCAAAGGAGGAAAGTGAGCACAGAAGGCGGCAACGTGACCACAGTCTTCACCACGGCGGAGCCTCGCGGACACTCTCGGATAAACAGATACAAGGAGAACCTGGAACCCGCTTACTCACCTCGCGAGGACACTGCAGAACCCTCTTCAGGCTGACGGGCGATGACCAGGATGAAACAGCAGACCAGCGACGCCCACCATGACAGGAACGATGGCATGTGCATGACATTAGTCCTCCACCATCTGTAATAATTGAGTGTTGTAATCATTAGAACAACTACTAACCAACAGAAAAACTGGTGAAAAGCCCTGAAAATATATTTCACTCCAAAAAGAAGCAGAATAGAAGGAAAAATAAAACAGGAACATTTGAAAACCAACAGGAGAATGGAAGATATAAAATCAACCATACCAAAGATATAATAAAACGTAAATCACCCAAAGGCTTCAATTATTAGCAATGATTTTCAGACTGGGTAGCAGATCTCACTACAAAAACCCACTTACACGAAGACACAGGAGGTCAAAAGGAAAAGAATGGGGGAGAATATGCTATGTGCTGTGCATTGAATGTCTGCATCCCCGCAATTTCTATGTTGAGCACCGAATTTCCAAGGTGACGGTATTAGGAGGTGATTAGGTCGTGACGGTGGAGCTGTCATGAACAGGATTAGTGCCCTGCAGTAAGGAACGATGACGGACGCTGTCCCTCCCTGCTGTGTAAGGACACAGCAAGAAGAGAAGCTGCCCCTCTGCAAACCAGGGAGCAGGTCTTCCTGCAGCGGCTTACATCCTGCCCTCACCAGAGAGCTGCCTCACTGTTGAGCCAATGCCCTGGCCGGGAGGCATTCAATAAAGGGCCATTCTGATTAGGAGGAAGAGGAGAGGGACGTGGTGAAGAGGCAGCTCCTCCCTGGCCCTGCGGTTCCCTGTTCAGGACAGCTGACCCGGCTCAGGCTGCTCCCACCTCTCCAAGAGCCCCCAGACCTCTGCTTCTACACTTGGCTCCCTGTGTGTCTGTCCCTAGGAATCTTTAATCCAAAACCAAACTGTGGTCTCAATAAAGGAAAAAAACTTCTATCAAGCAGAAGACAGGCTGTCTTGCTTTTCTCCTGGAAAAATATACCCCAATCCAT